AATCAAATTTAACACCAACAATGCATCATATTTAGTCTCTAACCAATACGGCTTTTAGCTGGTGATTTACTGGCATTTTCCGACCACGGCAATTAACGCAGATAGGTCACTCAGAGGTCTAAATGGGTACTCTCGGATTTCATAGCCACCAAAGTCGTGTAGCCGTTAAGCCCGTGACAAATGCATGTGTTGCCAAAGCCATTCTTGCAGCCAGCCTTTGTTGTTTTCTCACTTTTCGTCATTCCATATTGTGGGGCTTGGAGGTCAATAGTGAGTGCAGCGGCCGCAAAGTTAAGTGTGGGTGGCCCATGAGTCGTAAAACAGCACTGTGTGTGTGTGTGTGTGTGTGTGTACATGTATGTGTTTATGTACTGAATGTGTATGTATACGTGTGTGTGTGTGTATGTATGCGTGTGGAAAGGCGGGTCAACAAAAGGCGAGAAACTGGAGAAGGGTGGTGGCAGGTGTCAATTTCTCTGCATTTGAAGACTACATATGATGCATTATGTGTGTTCATTTTGATCCTTAATAGTAAGTAAAAAAAGCAAATAGTCTATTCTATAGTATTAATATTATATATAAGTTTGAAAAAGGAGAATGTACTTTAGACTGGTGCTTTTTCTAGGTGCTTTGAGAGACCTAGAAATTGACTAATAAAGGGGAAGAAAATGACTGAAGGATTGTGTTGTTCCCTTTCAATATAAATAAAATGATTATGATATGAAGTTTTTGACCCGTTAGCCATGATATATACAAACATTTTCTTTCTATTTGCTATGCATTTGGGTAAGAATACTTCTGAATCACAATCCCTTTTAGTAACAAAATTGACTTTATACTTTCCATAAACACTATGTAACTTGTAAAACACAATCAAACAACTCGTACAAGGCTCAAATTAAATTTTACCTTGAAATTCTAATGTCATACTAATGAAGCAGCGTGCGGGCGGATATCAGCGGAGGCAGCCTCTCGTCTCCGTTCGTCTAGTCCCTTTTAATTAAAGGTGAGATGAAAAAAAACCGTCTGGAGGAATGTCTTCAATTAATAACAAACAAGGCTAAGATTGGACAAATAATGAGGCCCCCGGTCGGAGAAAAGGATTAATCTGATTTGTACTTGTGTATAGGGGCCCTTTTAATATGCTAAAATCATTAACAAAGGAAAGATGATATAATGCACGCCTGGAAATGCAGTTTTTGATTGCCTGGTGCTGACATTTCCTTGGCTGGGGAAGACAAGGACTTTATTTTTTTCCCTCTTTGTGTGACTGAGCATGCTACGCTAGTGTACAACAAAGTAATAACATGGATATGATCATTAGCTGAAAATGGTAAAGCTAGTCACAGGTTGATTCGGACATGGAATGATAAAAGACGTTTTTTATGAGGGGAGTAGCTGCTGATGGGAAGGAAATGGTCTTGAAAGTTGAAGAAAGCAATGTGAGCTTTCAAAGAATATATAGATGTCTAGATTCGTATTGATAATGGAAAACAAAGCTGTGAAAAGTCCATTTTGGCTGTTATGTTCTCTGTAGCTTGAATGCTTGGTTGCCACTCTGTGAAGCCCTTACGTGGTAAAGAAAGTGCTTAAGATTCACTAGCGAGAGAATTGCGGTTAACCAGTGTTAGCCTAACCCGAAGCCATCCATTAAAAGCAAGCTGGTGTCATCAAGATAACCTCAAAACACATTAGGACCAAATAAAACCTCTCAGGGCAGGCAAAAATGGCAACTTTCCCCGCAAAACATAACCAGGGTGTGAGAAGAATAAGCATTGGCAATAATATATAATTACCAATAATTTAAATTACTTCTGTCTGGATTCACTGTCATTATTAGAATGCGAATACGAGAAAAACTAGAGGCTATTCCAGTATCAACCGTATCTGCATGTTCCACTCACAGAGATGCTGTGTTGTCAGCTGAAGACTTCTGCCCTTCTGTTACTTGAAAACAATGAAGTGTTTTAGCATGCTAGTTGTGAGCTTGACCGTGTCTGTAAATATAAACCCGGGGCTCAGAAAGTGACAATAAAAGCACATTAAGTAATTTCCTTGTAATTAGGATGCTCTGAGAATGTGAAGAAATCATGAATATTTGTGAAATGCTACCGTTTATAATGATTTAGCCATCGTTGCTTTGCTTGGGATAGACCTCATGGGATTAATGCAGGTGTTTTTAAAGGTGGAATTTAGCCTCGCAGCGATTCTCGCCTGTCCGTCAACATAACTTTTAACTTAGCCTTGCAAAGTCACTTGTCTCAATGTAGATGGATCTGTTTATTGTCCTACTGTGGAAAATTACAGCAAATGTAATGACATTTAGATGGAAACAAGCAGGTGGTAGACCCAACACTAGAAATTCAAATCTCGCAAGCTAGTGGATTAGCCTAGTGCACATATTTTGACATCAAAAAAATGTTTATGCAAATCAATGTGAACCATCTATTCCAATCACTCTGCCCTGGAGTTTTATTTTACAGTGCGGCGGATATGAACGCGGGCATGCGAGACAAATGTGGATGCGCGGATGACGTGGTGGGGGATTGGAAAGCGGCGCTGGGTCATTTACATTGTATTAAGGCTTCCTCAGCCTCTCAGGACCCTGGTCGGTCATCAATCGCCCACTGTCAGCCTGGTAGCGCGTTTCGGCCTGGTGATAAATACACCAGCCAGCGGCACGGCCCGTCCGGCAGGCAGGCAGCGCGCCATAATGGATGGTTTGAACAAACAAGAAAGATGTCTCATCAAGGAGAGTGGGGACGTTAAAGGGCCCCGCGCACACAAAAGCCCTGAGTAAGGAGATTTGGCATGACCATATAGACACCGTGCTGAAAAAGCCAATCGCCCCCCAGCTCTTGCTCAGTCCCTTATTTGTGTCAGATTAGGTGTAACCTGTGGACCTCTCTATACCTGAGCTGGGTATTCTCAGAAACAATGGGGATCCACAAGAGTCCTTGGTGCTTATGAGCACTATAGTTCTTCATATCTAATATTATAGCTCCTTAAACGAGGCTAGACTAGAGTTTCTCAGACTGTGGTGTATTTGCTGCAGTATTAGTCCAATGGTGTAATTTAGAGACGAGTTTGAACAAATGTTTATGTCTTTGAGTCATTGGTGTGTCTTGGAAAACGTAAAAATAATTCCAAAATTGTGTTCTATAAATACAAAAAAAGCCATTGACAAAAGGCTTAACTTTCTTCTATGTATGACAAAGAAATGTAAAAAGAAAAAGAGAAATATTCTAATTCTCTTGACACTGTATTGTAAAATGAAACAAAGCAGATCGTTTACACATGTGTTATTGAGTCATTTCTCGAAAATGATTTTGTCGGTCCTGTAATGTAACCGCAATGAGACTATCTACGTCTTTATATTGTCAACCTTGGATATCCTTTTCTCAAAAGCAAACATTTCCAATCACATTTGAACAAAGGCACCATTTCTACTGCTTTTGAACCCGACTGTAACAACTTGACAAGAGAAGCGACGCTGACAGGACTTGACAGCGTCTAAATATAGCTGATTTCTGTTTTCCCAATATACTGTACGGGCTGTAATGTTCTCCCCTTGTCTGCACAAGTGAATGGCAACACATAGCATCTCATTTATTTGCTTTGCGTGCGCTCTGACTCCTAATCTAGGCCTTAAAGACATCTGTCACCAGCGATCACTGTTGTTTTGTCATGCTTCATAGCTAGCCCAGGGGGAGCGCGCCAAGCCCAAGGTCTAGCATTTATATCATCCCGTGTTCCTCTAGATTGGACTTGACATAAATAGTGTCATTGCATCCTTGTTGGCGAATTACATTTTCAGGTAAAATTCTTGGCTTCTCTTTGCGGCTTGCTTTGTTTTGTATCTTTTCTTCCCATTTTGCTTTGGATGAGCTGAAAAAAGCCACCATCAAGACACATGTCAGACAGTGAAGGGGAGATAAATGGGTTTTCTTGCAAATCGGCGCCCACTCGTTCACACGAAATGGCGTTATGAAAGGATCGTCTTCTTCCATTGGCGATGTAATGTTTTTACAAATGAGGAACAACATGGTGGGCCATTATAGCTCCATTTGGATTGATGAACTAAAAACGGCTATTCTTTTGATTTGAGATATTACAGAAATCCAAGCAACAAATTCCATAATCTATTCACTGCTTTCAGCGTTCATATATTTTAGGTTCAAATCTAAAATATGAAATGTTTTAAATGTCCTAAAACTGTACGTTGTATTGGAAACCTAGAAATCAATATAATTCGATCTCACTTACTTATCTACGCTTTGTGATGTCCACTCTAGCCAAAAGCTCAATGGGAACACTATAGCTCATCAAACTTGCCTTTCAACAACCAACTGTTACCAAAATACACTTATATAATATTCTGCAGATATGGTTGGACCTCAAATCCCACATTTAATGCAGGTGTATAACAATATGACAACCACACAACATATAAACATACTATTTACATTATTTACTCACTGGAGAAGGACACAACTTACGATCAGTGAAGGTAGAAATATGATTTTTCACTCATTTGATCTCATTCTCGCGGCATTAGACAAGGTTGCCCTTTGTCTACTTAACCGTTCGCGCATACATACTTGCATACAATAAAAGTATGTTTTGCCGCTGTATGCTTGGTGTGTGGGCAGGAATGGGGACAAGCCACCAGGGTGATCCACGCTGACAGTTTTGATGAACCAGTTTGGCCTGCTCTGACAGCTTTAGCGCGTGAATAGGAGCTCTATGTTGCTGAGTGGGCGGACACGTGTAGGTTTTCCCAATGTCTATAATGTTCAAGGTTGGGTGGAGGTCAGCAACAGGGTGTAATCTTGGGTTACACCAAACAACAAGCATACACAGGCTCGCAACTTGACTCGGGGCGTGCGTATATGCATGTGTCTGTGTTGAGCGCTTGACTTGGGTTTCTTCAATGCATGTGTTTATGTTAATCTATGTTAAACGCGCTCATTTGCTTATGCTTCTTCTCCTCCTTGCAGCACCCGTACCCTTCTGAAGAGCAGAAGAAGCAGCTAGCTCAAGACACAGGCCTAACCATCTTACAAGTAAACAACTGGTGAGTCACAAAACTCTTTCTGCAATGAGGAAGATCGACAAGTTCAAAAGAGTTCAGAAATCCCCCCACATTTATGAACACAGTTGTGTAGTGAGGCTCTCTCCCTGCCTTCTGAGGATTCTTCATATCGTTAAAAAAGCATTTTATCAGAAGGGTTGGGGGGACATGTTTCTGCAAGAATTTCCTGATATCAGAATGGATAAAACAACTCCGGATAGAAGATCTTGAATGACAAATGTTGGAAAATTTTATTGCATTGAAAGTTATTATTCAGATTGAAAAAAACATGTAAAACCGATTCTGAATTCTAGCTCATGTCAATATTCCTTATTTTATTTGCTTCGTCGTATCTCTCCTACCAGCGCTGCATTTCTTATTTTCATTTTGCCAAGACCTCTAATGCTCGCAAAACCGTTTAGCCATCCCCGCACCACAGACACTCTTTGTAACGCTACCACACGTAAGCTTAGACGAGGATGTTCTGCTGTTATCCCTCATGGTCTTTGTGGATATTTTTGAAGGCGAAAGATCATCGAACCCTAGATCAAAACAACAAAAATGGCTGCCACCCCCTCTTTGGTTTTATACAACCGACAATATGTTGGATTAAGGTTTTTGGTGGCCTGGCCAGCGGAGCCCTTTGTACAGGGCTTAGTGCATAACTGGGGGTGGTGGGATTAAATAACATGATCACAGAGGCAAAGAAATGATACAGGAATTACTTATCAAAATACTAGACCAGGTTTTATCGCAGCGGCTTAATTTTGTACATTCTGCGTCGTGATGTTCAGATTAATTGAAGTGACAGCTCCCTTTCAAAATGGCAGGAAGGTATTTGCACGGATTTCGGTCTTACACAAACTTAATTATATGGCGGGCCTATTTTATCATTCTAATTCCATGTAGCCGCAGTGCTATTTACAAATGACAAGTCGGCAGCCTTTTATTCGCGGCTTTTCCCTTAATATATTTATCAAAGCAGGTTCATTTACAAAGTGCCCTATCTGTCGAGCGCAGGCAGGCCGACATTAACGGAGCTTTTAGGTTTATCACGTTCGCAAAGCCTGACAAGCCACCCGAGGGTCAATTGATTTTTTGGGGGGGGTTTCTGCGATTCATTTTTTTTTTCTCTAATTTTTTTCCCTTCACAATGAGAAACATGCCTGGAGAATTAGCTGGGTTTGTCGTTCGCTTATCTAGCTACCCCTCCCCTCTCTATCTAAGCTCACCCAAACCCGATCCCCCACCACACACCTCGCACTCGCTGCTAGCCATAGCGAGCTACTCAAATTGGCCACAGGAGCAAGGCCTTATCACCAATTTTCTGTGCCCTACGGTGTGGATAGCATTTCAATTACAACGGTAAGCAAAGATTAGCCCCCTCCCAACTGGTAGTTTGAGTTTTTATTCCACAGATTCCAGGCACCTTACCTAGCAAAGCAGAAAATTGACTTGCCTTGCCTGTGTCATGGTGATTAATGTGGAAATAGTGGGATTGGTAGATGTTCGTAGTAGTAGGAGTTTGTATAAGATTATATGTTGTATATACGCACAAAATAAGCAACCAAACCTCATTTCTATGGATAATTGGAATGCTGTGCCAAATAAGATTGGATTATAGACATTATATTGAAAAACAATATAAGGTTTAAGTAAGATGTATGGAGGCGGCTTGTCAATGTATGCACTCAATGTTTCCACTTTATTCACTGAAGACATTTAACGTTTTCTTACAGTGAGCGTATTATAGCGTGTCAAGCAATGTCAGGCCCAAACGTAATTCAATCCTGACCAGTCAAAACCACACAAATCAAGATCACTGTACTGAATTCAAGTCTTTTAATCTTGACAAAATCTATAAATCTCTCGACGTGAGCCACCACAAACATGTCCTTTCAGTCGAAATGTATCCACTGTACACGAGACAACAGTGTAATACCACAGCCCTCATTAAGACCGACATGCCAAAAGCACTTTTCTCAAATGAAGACATCAGAAGCGCTTGCGGGTCTGTCTCTGGGGACTTGTCATCTCATTTGGCTCAGGATTCTGCGTTATTGGCTCTTTTACACCAGAGGAGATGGGACGGGAAGTCGGCTCCGGCCAATCGCATGAAAGAGATCCGTCCCCCGTTGACTGGTCCCATCCTGGCTTCAGGATGATCAAGAGGGACATGACAGGAGCGACTGTGAAGAGCAGCTTCAAATCCAGACTACCAGCTGACCTCTGACGTTTTGAATGTCTGATCCAGCTATGTTGTTTTTAAAGCGGTTACAAAATTAGAAAACACATGATGCTTTTCTATCAAAAAACTGCTTAGCTTTTCTATAGCCTACATCTGTATGAAGGCTCTTTGTTACAAATGGCAAATATGAACTAAAAATATATAGCTTAAACACAATCCAATCCTCCAAAAAACATCAACCTTGTTAAGAGAAACAGCAAACGCAACACCCATACTAGCTGCTCAATTCATTGTCAATTGGCCCTTACATTTCCCTCACTCTACTCCTAAACTTAACTCCAACATAATGACATGTTGCTACATTTCGCATGTTGTTTGTTGCAGGAAATGTTATAAGAGATTTGTTTAAACTATCTCAGATGCTGGCCAAAGGCAATAGCAATAATAGCAATATCTCTATAACTAGTAGTATTTCTCTGATCATTGTACAGTTCAACACCATCCCACCACGCCTCCACCAAAACACATTCCACTTGTAGATCTCGAATTAGAGCTACCGTTGTAAGTTCATTTACTCGTTCTCCTCTTGCCCCATGAGCTAAGATTATCCAAAGGCACACTGCAAAACTGACTCTATGAAAGCCCCAAAAGAGCTCTTCAAATTCCTGACCGGCTGGCCTCCCTGGCATTGTTTGGCGGCTCCCTTTGATGCCAAGAGCGGGAGATAGGGAAAGGCAGAGGAGCAGGGATGAGGAGGTAGAGGAGGTGGTGGAGGTGAGGGGGTGTGGGCCTGGACGGCTGGCTGCGTTCGTCTACGGTTTCCCCGGCATTGCCCCGGGGGAAGGACGCACTGAATCAGCCCTTTGTCCAGCGGCACAATCGCGGCTCGCCCAGGGCACAAGGGTCTCTGTGTCGCAGTCAATGGACGGTGCATTTGCCGGCCCCATCGTCAACAGCGCTTACCTGCAGGTCATGCAAGCTTATGTCGTGGTGGAGAGGACCAAGGTACAAAAGTGCCAAGCTTAGGAAGAATTGATTGGTATTTTTCCAATCTAAAACAAATTACATTCAAATTAGATGCAAAGATATAATACAGTTCTAAATCAAAGGAGTATGCATAGAATCCAACTGTAACTCCACAAACCTTAAATACATTTTCCTGAAAGTTGAAAAAAAACCAAGAAAGTTGCATAGTGTGAATTAGTCAATTATTAAACTTTTGAGTGAAATCATAGCCATCTAATCTCAATTCCCCAAATACATGAATAAATAAGGGAAACCTCAATCACAAAAGTTTGATAATTCATTGTGTACAGATTGTCAGATGGTTTCCTCTGTCGCCATCTGGGCTAAATCTAAAAGTTGAGGGGTAAAGTCCGTCCATATTTGACAGTAGGCGGGGCTTATTTTGTTCTACTAGTAGCCTCTCAGTGTCTTTTACCCCAGAGATGTGCTCAGGCACCATTAGTTGTCCATTAGGTAGTCTGTTTGCCTAGACAATACTGGCGTCGCGCTAACTGTACGCGGGAGTGGCTCTGAGCGTAATTGCATTTGCTTAAGATTACGGCGAGGTGAGGGCCGGGGTAACACGTGTGTCGTAAAGGCATCAGCTCAGGTGTTCGCCGCTAACATAACAGTAGACAGTGCAATCAGCAGCTGACAACAGAGATAGCCAAAAGAGTGACCAAGATAGTACTAGCGTCTATAAACTATGAGGCACTTGCACACATTGTTATGAAGGGGAAAGAGAAATTGCACTGCTTTACTTTTTTTGGTGACTTAATACCATTGTAAATAAACTTTACATCAAGTTACATCCAGACAAAAAGTCATGGATGGATATTCTAGCCATTGCTATAAGCGTACAACAAAATATATATTCTATATCTCCTTATGCAAATAATGTTGGTCTTTAATGCCGATAAGTTGATCACTGACAATCCTTATTTTTGTCTCTTTTCTACACTTGTTTCACATTACATTTAGCAGACGTATGCATTTACCCCGGTGGCTGGTCTGCGCCTTGGCTCAATGGGGCCTGACCGAATCCTCTTCCATCCCAGCGATGGTTCTCAGCACGCCAGCGTTCATAAACCCACACGCCAACCGCCCTGCCATTATTTACCACTGTGCACAGGCATGCTATATCAGAGCAGTGCTCTCTGTTAAGCTCAGCATACACATTGTTTTAGGCAATTGCAAACTTTTAAGGGCGAAATGCTATTAAAATGCCTTATTTGAGATTGATGAAGGTGGATCATAGCAAAACCAAATTGAAAGCAGAGTATTTCGAAAGAAGGGATAAGGGGACATGTTTGTGCCACATATTCCTGATATCAGTGAGAATGACGCAAAGAACAACAAGATCTGATTTTGATGTAGCAACAAAGTGAGTGATAGAAAACTCAAATAAGACACAATTGCATGGTATGCCTCTTAAGATCGCAAACCTAACCCTAAATGCAACATACTGAATAGTATCTGTTTGAACACTGCAACACGCGCTAATAAAGACAAGCCAGATAAGCTACTGTCCTTTTCCCCTGCAGTTCCTTGCCTCTGCAGCCCGGAGGGGATAGACTGGGGGGGCATCTAATTAGCGGCAGAAAGGAATACAATGAGTGAGTTATTAAGACAGACGGACGGCCTTTGAACCCCAGCAGAGCACAGGTCAGTGCGATAAGACGAGGAAATCCCACAGACTGCGGCGCCAAGCGAGCCCTGCCCACTACGCACTGTCCCGACGGCCGTGGCTTTATCTCACCGCAGGACAAACTCCACTCGGGCTAATAGAACACACAGATATTAAGCAGTT